AATTAATTGCTAGCAAACGTAAAAATGAGGCAGTCTTGCATATACTGTATAGTCCTTATTTTACAGAGTTCTGTATAGTTTTTTTAGTGTCCCACTGCTGGGCTCGGGTTACACTTCAATACGATGGGGATAAGGTATCCACCACGTTGGCCGTATACAAGCTAATGGAATTCCCATGAATTTCAAAGACTGCTAAATTCTTATAGACATGCGGTTTTCCTTCACCTTTTCACCTTTAAGGTTAACCGCAAGGTTACATCTTAAGAACTTAAATAGGGTAATGGTAAGCTTGAAATATTATAACTAGTATATTGAAAATAACCTCTTTCTGATCTTTCTCATCAATTTTCTTTGAAATTTTGTATTTATTTTTTGACAGAATGAAACGTATATGCTACCAACCAACAATATAAAATAAATCAACAAAAAATACGAACGTAGTCGCGGGATAGAGCTAGTAAACATAAGTATCATTTTGATGTCTCGAAGCAATATTAATGAAAACAAAAAACGTTATTAATGATACTTCACTTAACTCGCACTAACTTTACTTTTAGATAAACTTTTAGATATAAACATAATTAAAGAGGATTATGATAACTTCTAATGGAACACCAACATTATTTCGAATAATAACCAATCTTAGTAAATCTGGTAATTTGCTCAAAAACTTTTCATGTAGATATAAATATGTTGGGACATAAATACACATCACCATCTAGTTCCATGGTAAGCTACGAGGCTTGTGTTATGGATACCAGATAGTTGATACACTACACATGTATGTATTACTTTATTAAATACATATCATATTCTAAATACAAACACCCATGACTGAAATACAAACATTCGCGCTTATCACACAAATTAATGACCCCTCTGGAATTCGAACCCGCGACCGCTGGCACAGCAAGTATTTTCCCTACAAACTGAGCTAAACCTGTCGATGTAAACAATACAGTTATCTACATAAATAGTACTTGTACCTAACGTATTGATATTACTTATTAAGCACGGCTTTGCCACCCCATTCGCTTATCTCCATTCAATATTTTACTCAAATCAGTTAAGCCTTTACAGCGTGAAAAAGAGTATAGAGGATAGTAGAGAGGATTTTCAAACTTTTTAAGTATATTTTAAATTATGTGTTAGTTAGGGTCTTTGATATCATTTTATTTAGTGTATGATATGATTATAACAAATTCATCTTGAAAGAAAGAATGTGAAGTTATATATGTAAGAAGAAAATCCGATATTACAAATATTGAATAACTCTTCGCCCTCGGTTCTACTCATGTAAAACGTCAATATAAAAGCCTCTGAGGAAAAGTAGAGCTTTTTATTAGTTGAACAATTTTGAGAACTAATTCAGTACTTCCAAAAGTTGTATTATAAATATATACCAAGTATTATATTATTCATATGTACTCAGACTAAGTGATAATGTAGAGGGTGTCATAGAAAGAAACATGAAGCCAAACAATAATGCTTCAAAATAGCAAACAAACGACAGACAATTTGTATACTGAGTTTAAAGAAATGTTAATAAATAACAAAGCCAATGAATTTTATTATAATAAATAAAAAAAATAATAATAAGTTAACATAATCTCTCATTTAATGGGAAGAGTACGAATGCTTAAAAATACAATAGAATATAGTAGTAGTTAAGTACTTCATTCACATTTTATTCACAAAAATTCCTTATTCTTTAAAGAAAGTAAACGATCTGTAAATATCTTATATCTTTAAACGAGCTATTCTATATATATATATATATATATATATATATATATATATATATATGAAATCTGAATCTCCGAAACGGCTCCAACGATCTTCATGAAATTTTGTGTACACCCAGGGGGTTTCGGGGGCGATAAAATCGATCTAGATTAGTCTTATGTCTAAGAAAACGTGTGTTTTCGAGTTTTCATGCAGTTTTCTTTTGCATTATTCCACGCATAATATGGTCGATAATTTGCACGCTCGGGTATAAGCATCGTGTTCAAGCAGCCAAGGTGCAAGATCAACAATCACAGGTGTCCAGGTTTGAATGTCGGCCGCATACTAAGTTTTAACTTTTGTTTTTTTTTATGTTTATTCAAGTTTTTAGTTTAAAAAAAAAAAAGAAAATTGTACTCAAGGCCAAAAACTCCGACCGAAGCTATGTAGCCCAGGTACTATATCATAATATGGCAAAATCGAGAACAGTAGCATTAACAGCAAATCACGCTACTACTTTTGACATTGACATTTATTTTGACGGACTTCTATAATTCTTCAAAGTATAAATATAGTACTAAATATGAACATTAATTTTATTAAATATATTTATAACAATCTAAAAACGCAAGTATATTTAGGATTTGGTGAAATATTTAAGCAATCATGTATTGAGGATAATTTTATTAGTTTTCATAAGGATCCCTAAAAACGTGGGTGGGGTACTTGAAATATGGAATCGCTACATCTAAGATTGTACCTTTTAACCTTTCTAACCGAAATATTAAGGAAAAATGTATATCCAAGAACTTGAAAAATTACTTTAAATATATCATCCGCAAATTTTCATAGAGATCTATTTTTACAATCTTAAAAGCTTTTAGTGTTATGGAAGGTATAAGTCATTTTTTTGTTTCAATTAATTTACTTTTATCTGTTGTAAAGGTTGCTTATTGCAGTTTCAATATTATAGACATCATGATTTTTATCAAAATTAATCGTGATTTTCTTTAAAACTAGATGTTTTTAAGAATATTGTTTTATAAATAAAATAAAAAAATCTCGGCGACTCTGACTCTACTATTTTAAATACGAATGTTTGTGTGTTAATTATTGTTATACCTTAACGCGGAAACGGCTGGACGGATTTTGATGAAATTTAGTAAATTTTTAGTAACGATAGACTATGATCTAGGTCTCTAGAGTAATATATAGGCTACTGTTAGTAATAAAATTTGACAAAAGATGTCGTTACCTGTATGTAATGTTATAAATAGAAAAGCCACCAAAGAACACATCCGAGCGAAGCTAGAGTAAATAATTAGAATTATTATTACGTTATATAAAAATAATAAAAGAATTTAACCTTTAAAAAGTATCGCGTTTATACTCTTTTGCCTAAAATTTGCTTCATTTGGCGATAAAAGTCACTCATATTCCACACTGCGAGTTGATTGATGATATTCAACATATTTACAGTACGAGTACATATTAGACAAATATATTTTCATAAAACTACATACAAGTACAGTTTCACAACATGAGAGAATAAGAATGAAATTGAAATATTATAAACTCTTTCCAATTGTGAAAAAAATATGCCAGTCAATATTTTCTGTTTAGAGAGGCTTAAAAATAGTCTTTTTTAATCTACCACGTTATTTGGATCAAACAATTAAAATGTTTTACCAAATAACCTCTAAGCATACACGAATAATCAAAATATAGCATCAGACATCTCAACTCAAATATTAACTAAAATAACATATCTGTAGTTTTGAAGGTAAGGGATTACAAATGAAAGAATTTGGTGAATCGTTTGTATATAAACTATTCATGTAATACATGGGTTAAACTCTTGTGGGCCACTTATATATTACTAATAACCTCATTTTGCTTAGAACAAATATATTACATACATTCTTAAAGCTGAACAGGTATTAGAATCAGAATTTACGATCCTTCAACGAATTTTTTTGTTGATTGACGTTCAAATATAACTTTTCAATGATATTTTTATAATTTTAGACTTTTTCTCATAAATCGTGTAGAAGAGATGAAGCTAGATATGTGCTTAGTGTGCTTTAGTGTGTATATTCTATAAAGTAGGCATCTTCAATTACATAATCAGAAAAAAATCTCAATTCTGGAATACCTTTATTTGTTATCTTATATTCTAAGATATTTTTATATTTCTCATTCATGCTTCACACATTTTCAATACATTGTATTCTTATATTAATAATATAATAATATCCTCCTAAATGATTTCAGCCACGGCGGCCAATCTCACTGAGACTAGCCATTTACGCACGAAATATTATAGTGCACAAGTGTAAACGCAAACACAAGTGCACTTTCTCTTCCTGTCACTCTCAAAGTCCGATGGGACGATACTTCGACACGACCGGTAAGAGTTAAGGTGCAGGACCGACGGCTTTACGTGCTCTTCGAGGCACGGGGTTAAAACATCGCCAACTTCCCAACTCCAAGCTGTTACCAAGTATTTCTTTGACAGAAATACTCAATAACTGAATTTGGTCCAACCCGGGACTCGAACCCAGGACCTCTAGATCTGCAGCTGTACATGCTAGCCACTAGACCACCAAGGCAGTATTTAATTCTTATATTATTACGACAGGATTCTGCATACCAAAAATAGTTGTAATGTATTTTAGAAGTTGATATGTACGTACATAAACCCAGCAAAATAAACTCATTTAAAGTCATTCCGTGAACCAGTTTATAATGCCTTAGTTGTTACATGTTACGAAGTGTTTATTTATTTATTATTGTTTGTTACAGACAACTTATATTCAACGTAAAAACGTTCGAGTTTGAACGTGATAAAATTTCCAAATTTACTTAAAATTTAATTTTATTAGATATTTTAATTTTACCTCTTAACTAACTTGTAGTAAATATTTTTTAAATATCTCGTAATCATGTTTTTAGAATATAATACCCGCAAATTATACAAATAATGGTATCTGAAAAATGAAATTCACATTTTTCTTAATCTAACGACACGAAGTTCAAAGTTCACAAAAGTTTTAAGCCGTTCTCGCTAAAGATCCAACGCATTCGACTGTAAACCGCTAATCTCGTTAAGATCGGATGTTTTGCAACGTTTACAAAGCATTTAGAGTTTCCAGACGCTTTTAGTAACGATAACTTTTATTTTCAGATGGCGGTGAAAATCTTCGAAGGATTATAAATATAAAACTTAGACAAGAATATTTTAATGAAAAAAATGATAATTTGAAATCATTGAAATGGCGATCAAAAATTGTTTACTGATTTTTGTAACTATATTAATAGGCATAATTTGCTTAAGTGCTGAAGAGAGTATAAGAACAACACTTAGTAATGAAACAACATTAAGAGATTTAGATAGTTTAATTAATACCAAATACATTTTAGATATAAGTAAAGATGAAACTGTTATAAATCTAAACACAAAAAATAATATAAGATACACAAGAAATATAAATGAATCATTACTTAACAATGACATGAATAATATAACTAATAAAGAAACTAAAACTGATTTGAACGATAAAGACAAGATGGTAGCAAATAGATCTGATTTTGACTCAACAGAATATTTCGATGTAAATTCAACTGAAGAGCCTTGTGTTGGTGATCTTGAATTTTGCAATATGACAGAAGAAGAATATATGGAAATGCTAAACGAATATATATACCCTCAGTCATACGAATGGGTGTTGATTGCTACTCATGCGATAGTATTCGTGATAGGACTTATTGGAAATGCATTAGTCTGCATAGCTGTATACAGAAACCACTCTATGAGGACAGTGACGAATTATTTCATAGTGAACCTGGCTGTGGCTGATTTCATGGTCATTTTAATATGTCTACCGCCGACAGTTCTATGGGATGTTACAGCGACATGGTTTTTCGGGACGGCAATGTGCAGAATCGTGCTATATTTTCAGGTATGTGTTTTTTTAATTATAAGTTTCATCTTATATCTTTAAACGAGCAATTCTTGTATAGGTATATATACGAGAATTGCTCGTTTAAAGACATAAGATGAATGGCATAATGTTTACAATAATCATGAATATTTAATAAAATCCCTCGACGAAAAGCTCGCAAACATAAGTCATTTGACATAACATTGACATTTTCTAGAGATCTCACTCTACACTAGCGCCCTTTTCATATATTATGTAGGTATTAAAAGATCTAGAATACACTCGGGGAATATTAACACGTCGCGAGGAAAATAAGGTCACGTCTCTAGTGTCCAAATATTTGTCATCTCTAAAGCTTAATCCCTTCCGGCATTATCACAGCTAGTTACCCTTTAAAAATATTCGTGACATGAATGTCCTTTGAAAGATGAAAAATCCAATATAAAGATATTTGGCGACTCCAAAATGTTCTCAAAGCAATATAGTTACTCTATCGATGAATTCGAATGATTTTCTTTGTTGTATTTCAATTAAGTTTAATATATATGGGTAAAAAGAAACTTTTGAGGGTTTTTCACTGAGAGCATTGCAAATGCGAAAGGTTATATATTTGTGTATGTTTGTTACTCCTTCACGTCAAAACGGCTGGACGAATTTGAATTAAATTTTGCAGGCAGATATACTGAACTATGAGTAAATTGCTGGTAAGCACCGCTGTCTGTGCAACGTATTATTAATACAAACACATCTAGTAGTAGGTATATAATATTATTTTACACAAAAAATAAAAGCTCTTTAACTTTATTGAATATCAAAAGCCCGTACACATACATTATACATACCTAATAATAATCCAATAACTATGGTTTCACACTAACTTATCATCTACAAATCCCACGTGTAAGGCCTAATAAGCCTTACACTATAAGTTAGTGTGAAACCATAGTTATTGGATTTAAGAATATATATTGATTCTAGCATTGCCCGCGGCTCCGCCCGCTTTCAGATGACCAAAAACTAAATTCTTAGGTTTTACATATTTGTAGGTATACTCTTACATTGCCGTTTTTGTATTTTTTCTGAGAAATGAGATATTTTCCCGCGATAAAGAGTATCCTATTTGTTAACCCGGATAACCAGCTATCACTATGTCAAATTTCATCAAAATTCCTCCAGTGGTTTTTCTGTAATGCGGTAACAGACAGACAGACAAAAATTCTAAAAACTATAGATTCGACCTCTGTATCGATACTAATGTTTATTTCAATAAGATTTTCCATAAAATATTTAATGTACGGATTCGGCTTAGTTACAATTTTATTATATGTATAGATTTATTAAAAATTTAGTATATTATATATTAATTGAGAATATATATGGAGATGGATAGAATTTTTGGACTAAAATAAAAGAAGAATGATTAAATGTAATGGCGGCACGATGATACCCGTCCATCTTGCTCTCGTGTTATTTAATTAACCAATTAGTGTGCTATATACAATATACATACATATCCTCCGAGTGCTTATTTGCCCAAACGAAAATTTACCGAAAGTTTACTTTTTAATACAAAATTATTGACTCTTAAATGTCTATTCTAGTGTTATAAAATATACCTACGTTTTACTTTTTTTTTTAAACAGAAAAGAATATTTTTTCTATATATGTACGTACTTAAGTCTTAAAAATAAACTCTTTACTGTAAAGTAGGTACAACAAGTATTGGCAGTTTGAATAATTAAGCACAATGGCGACAATATGTATCTTATTATTGTAAGGTAAAAAGTAAATAATGTATTAGTTCAGGATAGAATCTATCTAATTTCCTTATTTGCATTAAATGTTAACTATTACAGCGTGATAAAGTAATAAACTAACACGCTCACAAAATATTATGTTTGCTAATCTTTCACGCTGAAACTTTGGCGGAGGCCTGACCTGGAATAACACATAGACTACTGTTAGGCACTTATGCAGTACCTAAGGAACGACACGAACGAGATGGCTCAGTTTGTAGTGACCCTACTTGCTGTGCCAGCGGTCGCGGGTTCGAGTCCCACTGGGGGCATTCATTTGTGTGATGAGCACGAATGTTTGTATTCCAGTCATGGGTGTTTATATTTATAAAACCTCCAGGTAAATTTCTAAGAAATTAATTAAATTTCTAAGAAATCTATAGTTAACTGTAACGCCGGCGTGTCCGCGGTCGTTGAGGGATTAATATGCATCAACTATTTGGTATCCATAACACAAGCCTCGTAGCTTACCATGGAACTAGATGGTGCTGTGTGTTAATGTCGCAATATATTTATTATTTTTTTTTTTAAGGAGAACCAGGAGTAATTCGCTAGTATATAAGATTAGTGAGATTACATCCGTTTAAATACATATGAGCATTACATACTCGTACATAAGTCAATAAGTCAATCAGATTCAAATAGATTATTGGCATCACTGAGTAGATTGGTAAGATTAACATGTAGATATTAGAATTTAACATAATTTGATATAATAAGTACCTATAATACAATATACATATTTCTATGCAAACAATGTATTTAAAGCAATAATAACATAGACCAGTGCAGCAAGCAGTAAGCAGAATGATAAATTATATCGTGAGTTTACCACTTATGATTTTTGAATTATCATATTTAGAGGGTAAAAATAACTCACAAAAATGTAATAATGTACAAATTTTCATACAATAGTTTACTTAATACTTTCTTAGATTTACGCGAATATTTGACATTTTAAATAAAACTCTTTTTTTAATTTTTTCGCAGATTTATTTAGATTTTGGGTTCCTGGTGTTTCAAATGCTTTACAGCAATCATCGTCACGGGAAGTCTCTCCCGAGACCATGATTATTACAACCAAACATCAGGAATCAAAAATCAAATAAATTCGCAAAAAAATCCAACAAATATTTATTTAAAATTTCAAATATTCGCGTAAATCTGAGAAAGTATTATGTTAAAGATTTTTATCATATGTTGCAATAATTCGTTAGATGGTGTTGTATCGCAACAACGTTTTACCGATCGCCGTTGAAATTTAATATACTTGTATATGAATCTTTGGGTATGGAAAATGTTTTCGCCTAATCCATATATTTAACGAGACTTCAGCCGCAGCGATAGTTAAGTAAACCTAGTAATTATGTTAAAATAACATATGTTTATAATATTAAATGAGCAATTCTGGCATATTTTACTTCGTGTCTTGGGAATGGCTCTAGCAATTTGGATCAATTTTTAATTTTGGTCAAGTTTTGTTATATATATATAATATATTTCCGAAAAAACGACGAGCGAAGCTTATTTGTTCAGGTATTAATACATATAACGTAGGTTTAATTGGGTGAATATATCAAAAAATTACGAAATAGTAACAGCCAATATAGATATTCAAATCAATGCCTCTAGAGAAACGATGCCCAGTGACCTAAATGTAGTTAGATATTCTGAAAACTTAGCTCGAGACGGTCATCATAGTAATTTTTATATAATTATTATACATCAGCTTCCACACAGAAACATCTAAATTTATAATAAAATGAGACGTTTTGACTAATTTTAAGAAGATTTTTTTAATTAATTAGTATTTCTCTTTATGTATAAATAATATATGTTACGTTTCGAACAGACGTTATTTTTCTTATTCATTACGTCTATTCTTCTCCGTGATACGGCTCAAACGGTTTTTATGATTATGTACCTACTTAAGTAGCATGGCCTTAGTATAGGATCACTTGGATCGTTATTAGATACAATTATACCCGGTAGATGGCGCTGTTAAATCAAGATTTATATTTTAATTTTGCGACCAAACGAGATCCGTGGAAGGACAACGAATACCTGGCCCGTTAGCATCCATATAATATCAACGCCATAAACGTGATTGCAAAAACACATCAGTCACAGTTGAAGCGCACCCTCATAAAAGAGGGTTAAAATAAGTGCCTTATTCCAAAATATCGTTTAATAAATGCTGTTCATTTGTCGTGAAAATGTATTAAATTGTTTAACTCATTATAATTTATCTGGGGATAGGACTGACTATTAAATTCTACAATGGAGGTCATAGGTTTGAGTCTCGCGGGGTTAAATATTTGTATAATTCATACAAATACTTTTACATATACAGGTATAGCTAATTAACTATAGCTAAGAGAAAATAAAACATATACCTACAATAAATCTAAAATACATATTAGTTGTTGAGAAATTAACAAGTTTTTATCATGGTCACCGGAGAGACTGATTACCGAAAAGCATTCGAAACTTAGGGAAATAAAATTAAAAATAAATCCGCAAAAAATCCGAAAAGATAGTTTTATTCAAAATATCAAATATTCGCGTAAATCTAAGAAAGTATTAGAATATTTAATTTTTCATTATAGAGATACAGTTTATAATTCGCAGATCGTCTGAGTGTAAAAATCACTTTTGACGTCAGGATAGAAAATATCTACGTCGAGTCTTAGGTCTATCCCATTCTTACCCAAATTCTTACAAATATTTAATACACGGGATGTAACTTCATATCGGCCATATTTTTTCATTTTGCTCTTTTATTAATAATCGTGAAAGAGCAAATCTCCATAGGATAGTGCAGGAATAACACCTCGTACACACTATATCATATTAATTTCTCTTTACTATTTGAATTAAACATTTTATATAATAAGAACTTATTTTATACACTTTTACCTAATGCTTTAGCTCGTTCCAGAAAATATACCAAGCTTCTTTCAATCAATCAACCAAAGAATATTTGTATACGTCTTATTTAATTAGATATTTTTAACCCGCGGCTCCGCCCGCCTATCTTTACTAATATTATAAAGAGGTAAAATTTGTGATCTTGTGAGTTTGTGAGTTTGTGACGTTGTAGGAGGTAATCTCTGGATCTACTGAACCGATTTTCAAAATTCTTTTACCAATAGAAAGCCACGTTCTTTCTGAGTGTCATAGGCTATATATTAACCGGAAATATGAAAAGGCTTTTTCGTG